ACATTACCCAACAACAAGTTATCATCTTTTAGTCATTAGATGCATCAAGGTACCATTTTTAAGCCTTAAAACTCAAGTTAAAGGTTGGTACAACATACCAAGGCTCAAAACTCAGAATGAAGATGCTCTTGGAGCTCAACACAGCTCCTCACAATTCTGACTAAGAAGGTGCACGAAAATGCAAAACAAGATGGCTCCTTTCTCCATAAAGATAGACACTTGGAGTTCACAAATGGCAAGACCAAGGCTTCCACTACTCAACCTCCAAACTCAGCCCTCAAGACTGACTCAAACAGTGGCTAAGACTCAGAAAAAACCCTCCTTTCACTCCCACAAGGATGCTCCCAAGTGTTTACAAGGTGGAAATGTGAAGAAAATCAAGAAAGATCACAACTTGGCTCAAGAAATGGAAGGGAAAGCCAATAGAACAGTAACCAGCAAATGGTCATCCCCGAACTCACGTATAGAAATCTGATCCTAGGGTTTTGTGCCCATAATGGGAGTATTTATAGCCCAAACACACTTAAACACACAGTATTAACTTTAATTGCTACGCTTATCATTTTAATCTCAAACTTTGCATTCTGAAACTACACATTTTTCCAAGAATTATCATATTTTTCTTATATTTTTCTAAGCACCTTTCCGATAGCGCTTTTTCAAAGCTAGTACCGGTTTCTAGCACCAGTTCTCATTATTTGGACTTGAAACTCGTTTTACAAGTCCTACATATTATTTTAGTAATCATCATGCACTTACTTTAATTTTCTGGGATACTTTTTCGGCACGCATTTATACCGACTAGCAGAACCGGTATCTGCACTTTTCTTCCGAAAAGCGACTTTTAGCATTCTTAATCACTTATTATGATTATTAAGCCTCATAAATAATTATTAGGGTCAATTATTGAATCATTTCCTATTTTTTCATAATTAATTAATTAAATACCTTAATTAACGGTGCGGGTTCTTACATTCACCCCACCTTTTTAGGATTTTGACCTCAAAATCAGAGACATACCTGGTCGAAACTCGGGGTACTGCCGGAGAAGCTCATCCTCTCGCTCCCAAGTACACTCCTCAGGAGTTCTTCCGGTCCACTGCACCTTGGCCATTGGAATGATCTTGCTCCTTAGCTGCTTCTCGCCACGATAGAGAATTCTGAGTGGTCCGACGGGAGTCTTCAGGTTCTCCCGAACCTCCACATCATCCGGTTGCACCACGTGCGAAGGATCTGCTATGTACTTCCGAAGCTGAGACACGTGAAACACGTCGTGGATGTTAGCCAGGTTCGGAGGCAAGGCAAGCCGGTAGGCAACAGGTCCTACTCTACCAAGGATCTGATATGGCCCAATATATCGCGGGCTCAGCTTCCTCACTCCGAGTGCCCGACCAACACCGGTGACAGTGAAAGTCTCACAAAAACGTGCTCACCCTCACTGAACTCCAGCAGACGATGCTTGACATCATAGTAGCTCTTCTGGCGATTCTGTGCCTGCTTCAACTTTTCACGGATCATCTGGATCTGCAAGGTGGTATCTTGGACAAAGTCCAAGCCAAAAAGCTCCTTGTCCCCAACCTCAGATCAACAAGTAGGAGTCCGACATCTCCTACCTTACAGTGCTTCGTAGGGCGCCATGCCCAGGCTAGCATGAAAGCTGTTGTTGTAAGAAAACTCAACCAACGGAAGGTACCTATCCCATGCTGAGCCCTGCTCCAACGTGCAAGCTCGCAACATGTCCTCCAAGGTCTGGATGGTCCTCTCAGTCTGTCCATCAGTCTGAGGGTGATAGGCGATACTCAATCTCAACTGCGTACCAAAAGCTTGGACACAAAGATAACAACATCTTTCTTCATGCCCGGCCACCAGAAGTTCTTCTTCAGGTCTTGATACATCTTAGTAGCACCAGGGTGGATAGAAAACTGACCCTTATGGCCTTCTGCCATAATCTCTTCTGTCAACGGGCCTCGAGGAACTACAATCCTCTGCTGAAACAAAAGCAATCCATCATCATTCCAAGACACACTGTCTTGGTTCTTTACATAATCCAGACACTCTCTATGAACTTGTGCCTCTTTGATCTTTTCTAGCAGCTCGTTCACAACATCTGATGCTTCCAACTCGAGAAGTACACTCTCACACGGAGCGGTCACTGCCAAGTTTCGGAACTTCTCAACCACATCAAAGTTACCAAGTAACAAACTGGATGAACTACTGGATTTCCGACTCAAAGCATTAGCTACCACATTGGCCTTGCCAGGATGATACCTTAGCTTGAAGTCGTAGTCCTTTATGAACTCCATCCATCTCCTCTGCCTCATGTTCAACTCCTTCTGGTCGAACAGGTACTTCAAAATCTTGTGGTCACTGAACACCACAAACCTCAAACCAAAAAGATAATGCCTCCAAATCTTGAAAGCAAACACAATAGCAGCCAACTCCAAGTCATGAGTAGGGTAGTTCTCCTCATGAGGTTTCAACTGCCTCGAAGCATAGGCGATCACTTTGCCCAACTGCATCAACACACAACCTAGCCCCTTCCCGGAGGCGTCGGTGTAAAGCTCAATCTCAAGCGCAGGATCAGGAAGGACCAACACAGGAGCAGTAGTCAGTCTTTCCTTCAACTCCTGAAAACAGACCTCACACTCGTGAGTCCACACAAATGGAGTCTCCTTCCGAGTAAGGCGAGTCAATGGCAAAACCATGGTGGAGAATCCCTTGATGAACCTCCGATAGTAACCTGCCAAACCCAGAAAGCTCCTCACTTCCGTAACTGTCTTGGATCTCTCCCAATCCAGCACAGCCTCAATCTTGTTCGGATCCACTGCAACTCTCTCAGCAGAAATAACATGCCCAAGAAACTTCACGGACTTGAGCCAGAACTCACATTTGGAAGGCTTCGCATACAGCTTCTTCTCCTTCAGCACTTGCAGAACAGTTCTCAAATGCTCCACATGCTCTTCCTCTGTCTTGGAGTAAATCAAAATGTCGTCAATGAAGACGATCACAAACTGATCCAGGTACGGCTGGAAAATCCGGTTCATGTAATCCATGAACACAGCAGGTGCATTGGTGAGACCGAACGGAATCACCAAGTACTCAAAATGACCATATCTCGAGCGAAATGCGGTCTTTGGGACATCCTTCGGCTTTACCCGAATCTGATGGTATCCGGACCGGAGATCAATTTTGGAATACACACAAGCACCCCTGAGCTGATCCAACAGATCATCAATCCGAGGAAGGGGATACTTGTTCTTGATTGTCACCTTGTTCAGCTGCTTGTAGTCGGTGCACAATCGCATTGTCCCATCCTTCTTCTTCACAAAGATAACCGGTGCTCCCCAAGGAGACACACTTGGTCTAATAAAATCTTTCGCTGAAAGATCCTCAATATGCTTCTTCAGCTCTGCCAACTCCGGTGGCGACATCCGGTATGGAGCTAAAGAAATCGGCCCCACACCAGGCAACAGATCTATGGAGAACTCTATCTCTCTCTGTGGCGGAAACTCAGGAATCTCATCAGGAAACACCTCGAGGAACTCCCTCACCACAGGAATGCCGGTGATGTCCTCCTGTGTACCACTCACCAAACTTCCCAACATGACATAACCAAATGCCCCTGCTCTCAAGGCTCTCCTAGCCTGCAGCAACGAAATGTACGGCGAGGAACTGGCTGTGGAATCACACGGAGACAACACTACACGCTTGGCACAACAATCAATCATCACACAATTTCTGGACAGCCAATCCATGCCCAGAATAACCTCCAAGTTGGCCATCGGCAATCCTATCAGATCTACCGAGAACTCACGGCCATCCTACTGAATCGCCACATCGCGATGAACAGTGGTAGCATCACATCTTTCTCCGGTGGCGGTGGTCACCCGCATCGGTGGAGAAAGCACATCACTGGGCAACTCAAGCCCCACAACAATCGGGGTAGCAACAAAAGAATGCGTAGCCCCAGAGTCAAACAACACATCAACAGTTGATGAACCAATCGTAACAGTACCTCTGACAAGGTTCGGAGCTCAATCCGACTGCTGACGATCCAGAGTATAAACTCTCCCAGAAGATGGTGGCATTGCCGGTGCCGAAGTAGGTGGAAGGGGAACCATCTGAAGTCCATTATAGAGAAAAAGCAGTCCATTATGCTTTACAGTCTGCACCTATGTTTGATATTTGGGAGCAAATCAAAGAGGAGAATAGAATAGATCACGAGTTATTATAACCAATGATGCACCGACAGCGACACGAGACACGACACGACACGACACTCTGACACGTTAATTCTAAAAAATGCTAAATTCCGACACGTTGGGACACGTTTTGATATTAAATAATATTTTTAATATATATAATATAGTTTAAATTTAATACATATAGAAACTCATAATAAATCATATAACTAATCAAATATTCAAATTCCATAACATAAACATTAAGCAAAAATAATAGAACATCCCAAGAGTGTAGAGTGTAGACCACTCACAAGTTCAATTATTTTCATCTCCATCTTGAATAATCATAGCCTCTATCTCTGGCTCATCAAGGGAAAGACTAGAAAATTGAACATCTCCAACATCATCAAGTGAATCGAATGTATCTCCAGCAATATCCCACATTTGAGTTGCTCCTTGTGCATAACTAGGAGTTTTTCTTGATAAGAGTCGAAGATTGCTATGCACATAAACCAAGTCTTCGGCACGTTTTGGAGCGATTTTATTCCTCTTGATGGAATGCACAAAAGAATAAGTACTCCAATTTCATTCAGCACATGATGAAGAGGAGGGTTGTTGCATAAGTCTCAATGCTATTTTTTGCAGCATCGGTGTAAAAGTACCATAAAGTAGCCATCAAGATTTCGGATCCATAGTGTATTGAGTATTGATGGCATCAAAATCGCCAAAGGTTCCACCATTGCTAATAAAATCTGCATACTCCAAACTAATCCAGCCTCGGTCCTCCATGCCAGGAAAGAATCTCTTTAAACATTTTTATCGCTCTTGAGTAAGCATTAAATCCATGTGTGGAGGAACTCGACTAGAATCTTCCTGAAGCCATTGCTGACTATAGTATCTAAAAGAAAAGCAAAAAAATAAAAATCAACAACTTGTCATATTATATCAAGAGGAGTATTACTTTTAAACTGAATCATATTTAAAAACTTACTTGGGATTTAAAGCATGTGCCAAACAATGTAGTGGAGTTGAATTTTTTGTCTAACGATCCACAAGAATGCGATGCACCACATCATAAAAAGAGGAGCTCTCTTCCATCCCCTTCCTCTCTTTATGGTATATAGCTTTCTTCACTTTCACAATCATTGAATCTCACATATCATATATCAAGTGAAGACAAGCTCTATCAGTGTCACAAGCTCTGATCATATCATAAATAGGAGCAGTGAAGGCAAGTATATAATCAACTGAATCCCAAAAACAATCATCCAATAATTTTTCCTTCACAAGTCTGGCCCTCCAAAGATTATCATCTCTATAAATATTCCATTTTCCACTTATCACCATATTTTAGAGACCGCTCTTTATTAACTTGAACCTCTTCAGCGTCACAATCATTGAAGCAAAACGAGTATCAGCAATAGAAAGCAACTTCAAACTCACAAACTCATTATAGATTGCCAATCTCATAGAATGATTCATAATGAAATGTTTTATTGTAGCAACATCACCTATAATATCAGAAATCCAGCTGCATTCCTCATATGCTATTTGATTGTTCTCCATATTCTTTGCAGCACAAATATTTTTCACAGCCAAATTCAATGTGTGAACAAGACACGGTGTCCAGGTAATTATTGGGAATTCCTGCTCAATCAATTGCCCTGCTCCCTTATAATTTGAAGCATTATCTGTGATTACTTGAACCACATTCGCCTCTCCTACGTCTTGAATAACTTCCTTCAGCAACCTGGAAATGAAATTTTCACCATTAGTCATTCTCGAGCAAACAAACAAACACACTCAATCAGATTACAGAAGTCCAAACAAACAACCTGAAAATGAAGTTTTTATCCTTAATCTCCCCCGAGCAATCAACTGATTTTAAAAACATTGCTTTACCATCAGATACTGCCATGAAATTAATGAGAGGCCTCCTTTGTGAATCGCTCCACCCATCACTTACAATACTCACCCCTTATGAGTCCACGCTTCTCGAATAGGTTCACACAACCTATCAATATTTTCTTTCTCTTTTTGCAACAGAGTGGTTCGCAACGCGTTATATACCGGTGGCAAATAACCTCCAATATTATGATTTGCTGCATAAGTATATGAAGCTTGGAAGTAAGGGTTCTTTGCCAAATTGAATGGCAATCCTGCTGAATAAAACATTTTAGCAATCAGATAATTTAATTCTTCTCGTTCCCCAACATTGAATGCCATCTCAAGAGCACCCGTAGTTTTTCTTTTTTTCGGGCCAGTAGAAGAGCTAGAAGGGGGTAAAGGTACATTTCTAGGTGCATTAGATTGCTTTCTCTGTTCAGCTTCCTGTTCCAATTTTTCCATCTCTATCATGTCTCTATTCTGCACCATTAAGCATTTCCCAATTCCTTTGCTTGGTATTTTTAACGAGTGAGCCCTCACTCTAGTATACGAACTTTTATAATCTTTTTTACAAAAGTTACACTTCCAAGACAAATTCCCTCCTGCTTCCACTCTAGCATCCAATTGGGTAACATATTTCCATAGGGGTTTATCCAGTAATTTATTGGCAGCAGATACACTAGCAGCAGTGGCGCTATCACTGCCACTGGCAGAGGCAGAACTTGAATGATCCATATTGTAATCCTATAAATGTGTTAAACAAAAAAAAAAGTTATGATATTTATTCATCATTTTTTTTACAGGAGTACTTCAGCTAATTTTACTATTTTGTAATCTATATGCAGGGCTACTTGAGCTAAATCCACAAAGAATAAACATTTTCATTCATATATAATACTCAAAAAATCACTTGGTTATCTTTCTGTTGAAAATATTGCATAAATGACAAATTAGCGCATAATTATGTGAGTAAAACCCACATATTCATACCAAAATCCGATTAAATCTTATATGTCCTTTCAATGTTTCCCACCTAATTGAATTCTCCAATGACTATTATATTCACCGTATTTTTATTTGTCACACACAAGATGTTTGCTCTATCACATTACATTAATAATTTATCAATAATATTAGATGATCTGAGGCTCGATCCCTTATTTAATCTTCACTTATTCCATTTCTAACTAATGGGATTTCACTCACATTTGAATAAAAAAAAATTAAGATGAAAAAAAGCCTCCAAACCACTCAAATCTAAATTATAAATCTGTTGAGCTTCAACTGATAAATAGATGGATTTAAGATTTTAACTTTTGATTGTGAAAAAAATTAAGAATAAGCATGGACCTTATTAGTTTGGGCTATTTATTTGAATGACCAGAGTAAGCACTAAGCACTACATAATTAAAAATGCCTTCCATCTAAACAATCAGCCATTAAATTTTTTTTTGAATGGCTATTTATTTCTCGTGACGTACTCCTGTAATATACAAGTGTTCAGCACAATGAGTAATCCCATTGACATAGTCTTTTCTAGTTCTATTGATTCCTTTTTTTATTTTTATTGTGTTGGGTTTTTATTTAGGAAAAATTAAATTAGAGAACTTTTATCACCCACATCCTTGTTCGGCAATGTTATGATTCAACTAAAAAGTAAAGGTTATACAAGGGTAAAAACAAGAGGATAAGCCACGTTCAATAGAAAGCACACAAATAGAGTAGGTGGTGCAGCACCTGGTGTGTCGGGCTATCTTGAAGCTTCAAGCACGAGCTCTGTTGAACTTGTCAGATTCTCTCAGCCCTGCAATGCAACCCAAATTGTCATTTACCACTAAGTCACATGCTATGGTGTGTCGGACTAACACACATAATATCATGTTTGTAGGACTCTCAGCCATTAATACAAACAGGTTGTATGCATCAAATTTTTCAAACAATAAAATCATACATGTGTCTGTATGTGTAGCCAACAAGTATAGGTGAGGGATGGACGATTGGAAACTGGCACTGACAGATGGCTAGGTGAGGGACGGACGACTGGAAACTGCCCACCGAGTTGTACCCTTTTAGCATTGGTTGAGAATGCTATGAAATTGATTTATTTCAGAATCTCTCAGCAGAAAAAAATAAAAAGTATGCTAATCATAAATAATATTGTCCATATATCATAAGAAAAAACAAAAGGAAGAGCATGAGACAAAATATTGCAGAAACTAGTTGCAAGAGAGACGAAGAACACACCTGGAAACTGCAAAGCTACGATGATGGTGACCGAAGCTATGTCTAGGAGATAACTTACAGTGGAGAACAATAAATTTGAGGGGTTGGTTGAGAACGAAGAACACACCTGGAAACTGGCACTGACGGACGGCTAGGTGAGCAACGAAGAACAATGGAAGTGAGTCAGGAAGTGAGTCTGAGAGGTTTGATTTAGGGCTCAAAACATTTGATTTTATTTTTTTTATTTTAAAATTTTTTAATTTTATAAAACTGTCAAAAAATTTACATTTGTACCTTTTGACCGTGTCGGACACGGTCAAAGTCGCGTGTCTGGATAGTCAACATGTCACAAAAAGTCAACTACGTGTCAGACGCGTATCAGAATGTGTCGGTGTCCGACACGTGTCTGACACTAATTTCTCCTCAGATTTCACGTATCGGTGCTTTGGAGATTACAACTTCATAAAGCTCTTAATGAATGGTCTAACGTGGATCGTGAATTGCAACGAAAGGATGGGATCCTTTTTCGCAAGACCAGGTGTCTGTTGAGCTCCAATTCCAATTTAAGGTCAGTATTGCTAACTGAAGCCCATAGTACTTCAATGGGAGGGCATGCTGGTTTGCAATGCACCTTTCTGCGTTTATCTGCTTCATTTTGTTGGAAGAATATGCGGAAGGATGTTACTAGTTTTGTTAGGGAATGTACCATCTGTCAACAAATCAAAAATTCCACTCAAGCTCCTTTTGGTTTGTTACATCCCTTACTAGTTCCTGATGCAATGTTTGATGATTTAACTTTGGATTTCATTACTTGCTTACCAAAATCTAATGGGTTTGCCACTATATTGGTAGTTGTTGACCGATTGTCTAAATATGGTCACTTTGGACCATTGCCAGCTTCCTATACAGCTGCTACTGTGGCCCAACTGTTTTGTGACATGGTGATAAAACTCCATGGTTTTCCCAGGTCATTAGTTTCGGACAGAGATGCTATTTTCATGAGTAAATTTTGGCGCCAACTTTTTCAGTTAAGTGGCACTCAATTACATGCAAGTTCAGCATACCATCCCCAAAACGATGGTCAAACAGAGGTGACGAATCGATACATAGAGCAGTATTTACGTGCTTTTTGCTCTGATCAGAATGCACGTTGGTCTCAGTTCTTGTGGTGGGCCGAATTGCACTATAATACATCAGTGCATTCTGCCATTAACATGGCTCCATTCCAAGTGGTTTATGGCAAAGCACCAACTCTGATTCCTCCATATCAGAAGGATTCTGTTAACATTGAAGTTGTAGATATGATGCACCAGCAACGTCAAGAGGTGCTACAACTTCTCAAGGTGCAGTTACAACGTGCTCAGCAACGAATGAAGCATCAGGCAGATAAACATCGTCAGGACAGAAGTTTTAACGTGGGAGACCAGGTTTTCCTCAAATTGCAACCATATCGCCAAGTGTCTGTTGCAAAGAGGGCTCATCACAAACTGGCGAAACGCTATTTTGGCCCGTTTAAAGTTGAGCAAGTTATTAATCCTGTTGCTTATAAATTGGCTTTGCTGGAGGGAAGCTTAATTCATCTTGTGTTCCATGTCTCTGTTTTAAAACCTTTTCATGGCACCAGTGACGTTAGTTTTGCACTTTTACCAGTTTTGAGTGTGGCCAACAAACCTGTCCAGCAACCAGTTGCAGTTTTAGCTTCACGACAGATATCTGTTAAAGGGAGGGCAGTACAACAATGTTAGATACATTGGTCTTCCACTGTACCTGAAGATGCGTCGTGGGAAAACATTTCTGACTTGCGTTGTAGCTATCCAGAATTAAACCTTGAGGACAAGGTTGTCTTCGAAGGGAGAGCAGATGTTACGGGTATAGAGACTTCATCACATAAGGAGAAGCCCTATAGGGTGAAAGGGTTTCCATCATGGGCCATTGACCATGTTAAATGAAGGATGTTTTAGTCATTTCATGTAGAAACAGTTAGTTAGTTACGTAAGTGAGTTAGTTAATAACAGATGTATAACGAGGGAAAACTGTGAGTGTTATGTTCATTGAGAATTTGATTGAGAAATAAGATTGAGTTACTGTTTTATTCAGATACAGGTCCGCGTCTTGTATCATAATGTGAGTTGATTTTTTTTGGTCTAAAACTTCGACTATTCTACCAAAGAGGTCATTACACAGCAGCACCCTCTAATTAGGAGCCTAACTGATGACGAAAACACATAGAAAAGTGGCTAAATAGAAAGTTAGGATTTTCTCAAAAGAGTAACCCTCATGTTCTGAATTTCTAATTATCAAATAACAAAATTCAACTCCTACAATAAGGGTCATAAGCACCCTTTTATAGACTAATTACAAATTGATTCAAAATTCTAAATATAAAATTCTAAAAATAGTAAAACTTCATAAAATAAATATAATAGTAATTAACATCTAAAAATAAATAAAAAATTACAAATAAAAAATTACAAATAAAAAATTCAAAATACATCCCAAATCTTTAATCTTAAATTACGCCAAATATGTTGCTTTCCTTTTCTTCCTAAATAAATCACAATCACATTTGCTGCTTTATTGGTACTTGAATTCGATTGTAATTTGTTATATTTCAAATCATTATTTCTTTGAACAATTGAGCGATACTTATTAGGCTACAATTCTAGTTGACTACGAGTTTCTTGAAACAATGGTTGAGCTATGTACAATGGGCCAACTCTAACTGCATCACTAACTACTATATTATCATTGAGGGGTATATCTCATTTATCTAACTTCTCCGTTGATTAAATTTTCAAGAGTTATGTCCTTGCTTGAGACAAGTGCAGGGGATGAAGCATATATGTCCAACCATTACATGACATCATCTTCATTTACCTTCATAAATTTTTATTTATCTGAAAAATGAGATCTCATTCAACATTATTATATGACAAGTGAATTAGCATTAACAAAACTCAGTTGATTTGATGATTGGATATACTGCTCTTGACCTTTCTTTTGGAATAATATGTATCAATACCTTATATGTGATAGCCGCAAGTACATATTTATTGGATTAATATATTCTTTATAACCTTTCTCAAAACAAAGCCTATAAGCCACGTATGTACTCTTCAGAGAAGTGGTGGGGTCCCTTCTCCATCCTTAAAACCCGAATGTGCAGAAAACACAATATGTAGTGATTACCTTTTCTCTTCCCTTCTCTGGATCTTTTTCTTCCATATTAATTTGCATTTATCTTCAAAATGGAAAAAGGGGACAACACAACTATGACCAACAAGCTGAACGAATCCAAAAGATTATCGAGTGTTTATGTAATTTAATCCAAAATTATCCCGACTTTGGTCCATTTGTAGATTTTACAAACATTCACAGGAAATCCTCTTTATTTGATTTTGTTTATTGTCCGGGTCCCACTAATGAAGTTGTTTCTCAACTTGTTGATTTCTTTGCTAGGACTTAAAAGTATTAAATATCATTTTCCAAAAATGTCTGCACAAAAGAAAGAAAGAAATACTTATGGTTTGTTCATGTATGAGTTTCTTGATATGGTTGATATCTGAATCTAGGAATCCAAATTTGTTATACATGTTCTTCTTAATAATATTCGTAGTCCACGTTTTTTGATTGGAATAAAAATCAGTTCCAGAGGTTGCTCCGAAAGCAGTTTGATAGTGTTATAAAGAATCGAATAGAAGTTTGGTTTGAATGGTGACTTTTATTAACAATTTTGAAGCAATGAATGATTGGGAATGCAGTACTTTTATGTCCATCTACTGTAAATGAAATATATACTCTGGTTGAGGTTTTTTTCTTCCGTCATTCATTGTTTAAAATTTAAATTAGTAAAGTGGTAAGCATTCTTGACTTTCAGATTGATGGTGTTAACACAAAAAAGCAGTAAAAAATTTCTTCTTTTAAATGTTTTGACATTGTTATCTTGATGACACGATATTGATAGTGCATGTCATGCAGTCTCTTTCCAGCAATGGTTAATCCAAGAGTAGTGGCAATGATGGTGATTCTTATATAGGGTGGGTGATAAACCTTTGGTTTACCATGTTTTTAGGCTAAATTATACAAGAGTTATGTAGTAGAACGCATGGAATTCAAGGTTTTACAACATATAAGTCATAAGATAAGAATTTGAGCTGATGTTTTATAGTTCTTTGCATTTTTTAAGGTAAAACCACAAAGATTTGGTTCTAAAAAGTGCTAAAGAAATCATGACGAAGAAGTAGCGGCTCAATATGGACCAAAGGAAGCCAAAATCCTACAATGCAAGGGCCAGAAGAGCACGCTCAAGCGCACAAGAGGACGCTCGAGCGCTTCATGGCAGGGAAAATAGCCAAACTGGACAATTCAGGACGCTCAAGCCCACAGATGCACGCTCAAGCGCCCAATTTCACATAAATTTATCATCGAGGAGCACGCTCGAGCGCCCATTAGCATGCTCGAGCGCGCTCAGGCAGGCAAAAACAACAATTGAAGGCACAACAGCACGCTCAAGCGGCCATAAGCGCGCTTGAACGCCCAAGTACGTTCCAGACAACAAAGATTTACTAAGATTTGCTGAGATTTTCTAATGGATACCGGATTTTGATATCCGGAATTAAAGCGGAAACATATCGAACCTGATTTGAAGAGATTCATGGAAGATTGAAGCAGGATTATAACAAGATTCAAAGTCAAAAATCTGTCACCAATCTACAAGATATTAAACGCAAAAAGGAAACAATTATAAAATCAATTACAAATCTGATACGGATATGGTGGGAGATGCAATGAAGGATGTGGCTTTGAAGATTATAAATAGGAAGCTGAGGGTCAGACCAATTCACCAATTCACAAGTCCAGAGAATTACATAGAGACCTGAAGGAGGAATCCTGTTGCGGAGCGCTTGAACACTGAGGAACCAAGTCAACATCACACCAATGGAGCCTTGGGGTTCTCTTTTCTTTATTATTGTTTTTCAATTCAGTATGCTAGGCTAGTCTTTTATGTAGTTAGGGGTAGATGGAACCCAATTGAATCGTTTATGTTTATGGATTAAATTGTTCTTGAATTCTTTTCTTTTTATAATTAAATAAATTTATCTGTCTTTAATGCTTTCTATGAGTTTGCTCCTTATAGAATGATTTTGGGGAATTGTATGACAATAGGAATGTTGGTGCATGAACCCTTACTTGATAAATTTATCATAATCCTTGTGATCCAGGGATAGACATAGGGTAATTATGCAATCTTGAAATTCTTGATCTTAATGCATGTTTTCTTGAGGAATAATCGGGGAACTACAGTTCTTTCAAGATCACATAGATTTAGGGTAACAAGGAATTGAGCCCTAATTAACTTAGATAGAATTGATTGGCAATATATTAAGAAAAGGTTCTTGACTCTTTAATTCATAACATAACGAGGATATTGGGGGAAGTCGAAACCCTAACTACGCTTGTTTTAATTTGTAGTCAATCATCATCTTTTCCAATTGTCTTTTTAATCCTGAATTTTCTTTAATTGAATGTTATTACTTATTTTTAATTTTTAAGTTCTTCAAATACAATTATCTTCATCTAAATTCTTGATTGTCCAACTAAAACGCGATTAGCGAACTAGTGCTTGAAATTTCGATCCTCGTGGGAATGATCTCGTACTCAGTACATTTTATTACCTTACGACCGGTGCACTTGCCGAGTCGCAACAGTGGGTTTACAAAGCCTTAAAGACGACAACACCAAAACCATTTCTACAAAGGGAATTTCGAGAATCTGTGTGGATTTGAAAGATAAGTTACATTTTCTAATTGATTATTCATTATTATTGGTGATTCTTTTTTCTTTTTCTTTTTATAACATAAGGGGCAAAGCCCTAGAGAACAAAACAAGAGAAATTAAAAAAAAAAAGAACATAATGGAAACAGCAAAATAGAAAACATAACACTGCACAACATAGGGGAACTGAAGAGCAACGCCTTCAGGAAATAGTATATGCCTCTGTTGTGGACCCGGGTAAGGCCCATACCCGTAGAAGGCCCGAGTAATACAAGCCCAAAGGTAAACACTATAAATAGGAGCTAAAGATCACATGTATAACTGATCTTTTCTAACCCTATTTTATGCAATCACTCAGTGCACACACACCCCCTTTGGCCAAGGCCGTCATACAGTGTGTAGTGATTCGATGTCCCCAATATACCTAATTCATAGGTATCTAGAGAAAGCACAAGATCCAATATCAACCATCTAACCAACGGTTAGACATCTCTGCCTCAGGCAGAACACTGGCGCCGTCTGTGGGAAACCACTGATTTATCCCTATGATTACGTGGTTAAAGGCCATCGATCGAATGGTGAGGATGAAGAGAAGTGGGCATCGACAGCCTTCGGGACCAAGTTCCAAGCACCAACAGGTGTCTCCGATCAGGGAGGATCATGTGGATCACCAACAGGTGAACACTGATTTTGTGCATGTTAGTGATGTGCACTCTGATTCGGATTCAACTACAGCGGTCAATTCGAATGCCCCATATGTGCAGGGGCTACACCTAATAGAGGAGAAGATTATGGATGCTGCACAGATCCTAAATGTTGCGGCTCATGATTCGCGGGTGACAGATCTGGTTGTCGCTGCGGTGCTTCGAAGAATGGAGGAGATGGAGAGAAGAAGGTGCTAGGCGGGTTCGAAAGTTGGAAGCTCGTCTAGGACGAATTTCCAACCCAGATCCGGAACAAGCCATCATGCGGGTCATGACTTACCTGAGGATTATAAATCCCCAGCAGAATGACGCTCGAACCCGGGCTCAAACGAGGAGTGCTGGTGGCCGACCTCATAGGGCCACGACTAACCCGGCTTGTAACCAGGAACTTCAGCGCGAGGAAAACTGGGATATCAGAAGGGAGACAACAAGACAGAGAGAAAGCCCCAAACCACTAGATAACATACACGTATTGAGAAACCCGAACGATGTATCCAGAATCTACAGGAGAAAGTATCACAGGGGGGAATACAATGATAGTCCCTTTGTAGACGAGATTGTTGATGCACCCTTTCCAGAAAATCTGAATTTGTCGGAGCTTCTCAAGTATGATGGAACGCAAGACCCCCAAGTACACTTAGATGCCTTCGACACGGCCATGTACATCAAGGGTATAGAAGAGCCTTTGATTACGCGACTCTTTGCAACCACCTTGACAGGAGCCGCTCAAACATGGTTTTTGTCGTTACCAGCGGGGTCCATTAGATCCTTTGAAGAGTTTGGTGGAAGATTCTTGTTAAACTTCGCCACCAGCAAAAAACAGCCGAAGTCTGAGTTTGCGCTAGGGAAGATAAGGAAGCAACTAGTGGAAACCTTGCAAAAATATTTGGATCGGTTCAAGATGGAAGCTTTACAGGTGCTGGGGTTGTCTGAAAATGTCCACCTGCACCTGGTAATAGCAGGGTTACATGGCTCTTCTAGATTGGTCAAGTCCATATACAAAGACCCGGTCTGTAACACCCTCCCTGGTATGCATCCAAGGGAGTTGTTTGCTAAGCGGAATTAGAGTTTTTGACGTCATTACTTTGATACTGAAAAACCATTTTGATGCTTCTAATTAAATCTTATAATTGAAATCGAGTCACTTACAAAAATCAGAGTGCACTTTCAAAATTTCTTAACTTGCTGAAAATATTATTTTCCTTGCAGACGTTGCTGTCTTGAAAAATTCGTATGAAGTCAATTTCAACGATTCAAAAAATATTCTTTGTTATATAGAAACTAGACATCTGGGCTTCGCGTACATATAAATTACACGCGAATCGGAGGAGAATAGCCCCATGAAACAGAACTCGTAAGGTACTCAAAAACTCAGTGTATTTTTCTAAAAACCTCCTGACTTGTAAAAATCATAATAATTCGAGTTTTCAAAATTTCATTGTAAGGTTTACATAATATGAAAGTACACAACTGGAGCTTTACATCCATGTAAAGTATACCTCAATTGGAGGTCTGTAGCCCCAGAATGACAACTTGCAAAGTTCTCGCAAAACTAGTTTAAAAATTCAGGATTGGAACATGCATGAATAATTTTGCTAAAGAACACCAGATTTTCACAAGTTACAAACAGACCCCAAATTAAAACATATTCTAACAGTTTCTTACAACATCTCAAAACAATTATTACATCATACTAGAGCGATCAGCCAAATCAGCAGGAACAACATGTCAACATCAAAATTCCCAAAACGGAAGTAGCAAATAAACAAGACATCTCCAATACAAGTACATCATCATATGCCATTTCGTACTCCTGCAATTTATAAAAATTGAGCCCCCGAAGGGGTGAGAAAAATCCCAGTAGTGTGGCAATAAAACTAATATAGCAACAATATTAGACTAGGCACAAAATTGAAAAACAGTCACATCAACATTTAATTTTCCGGACAGATGCTAACATATAATCATAGTGCGTATATAACGCCAAAATACTAATCAAGATGTGTATATAACACCAAAATACTAATCAAGATGCGTATATAACGCCAAAGGGTACGTTCATAGCACCGTCGTGCACGTACTAACAAGCACAATGGAGATCCCATAGTGGCTCCTCAAGATGGTTCCAACTATGACCTATGCGGACTGAAGCCAAGTGTCCCATACCCTGGTACCGTAGGGATGCTTATATGATGCGTGCTCAAACATATGCTTATATTTATTATATACTTCAGTCTCCAAGATGAATGCATAATGTGGTATACAATGGCATGCTTGACACACACACAAACAGGAACAGGTGAAAAATGAAGTGCATATGCATGACTAGATCATGATCATATTAGCATATATCTCTTGCATATTTAATACCAAGCTGCCGAATCACAAATACTTCTATAGGCAGAATTTTCCATTAAGACAAGTCCAAGGCACATTTCATATAACATATAACAGAATACAAATCAGAGGCACATGTGAGCATCAGTTCAAAATTCTATACGCTAGCTAACAGTCACAGTAGGTCTCACCACCAAACACATACCTGATACTTTAGCTTTCTAATCAAAACAGTCCCAAGTCCATCCCACATTCATGAGGTTTACGAACCTAATCAAAATACCAACAAAATTTCTTTACTTTATTTATTTGTAAATTATAATGTTCCATTCAGAGTTCATGCTCCTAATACCAAATTCATTTCCTTGTCTTCAAATGAGATTTTCCATGCATCCAATTACTAATTTACTCTCTAACTTAATTGTTCAAATCTTTTTCTGATTTAACTTTAATTTTTTGCAGATTTAGTCATGGATAAACCAAAGGTTCCTAGACACAACCTGTACGGTTTTTAGGTCCTTCTTTAGTTCTCGGCTTAGCTTTACTTTTACCACATGTTACCAATTGATAAAATCAGGGCTTCTAAGACATGCATATTCGGTTATGAACATCAATCAAGTGCTATCAATTAATTATTCACATATTAACTACTACGAGGTGTAGGGTGCACTAAAGGGCTTAAAGCATACTGCCTATGTAGATTATTATTTTTATTTTTTTTTATAACAGCCTATGTAGATTATTGACATATGCAAGGCTTGACAAAACCTTGGTTCAAGGAATGGTCCATAATATTGCTAAGGGCTATTTTTCCAAACCCTCAATTCGGTTTTTTTTTTTTTTTTTTTTTTTTATGTGCTTACAAGCACTAGGTTCAAATGCTATTTAGTTGAGCAGAACTAAGAAAGAGGAATTTAAGGTTTAACGTCTATTAATTTCTTAAATTCTAACCGAGTTATTATACTTCAACGTTGGTAGCTTTCTGCCCTTAATTTATTCTAATAATTGCTCTTAATTGACAACATCTCAAGGTCCCAAAGGTATACTGATTAGGTTTTTGGCCACAATTCAAGTGCACAAGATTTGTTTATTTCCATAGCATTTCCTATATAGGGCGTATAATTGTAGGGACAAGATCTTTCACAAGCTGTACCTACAGTTTTAACATCAGTAACGTTTAATCAGCCTTCATTATCCAAGGACCGATTTCAACCATATTAAGGGATTAGGTTCCCAAGTTCCCTAAACATCAACTTCTACTTACAGAATCAATTTCAAGGCTGCCCAAACAGAATTTAAAACATGCGGTGTTGTGTAATTATCTTTCTAATAACAGGGCAGTCCAACAATTTTAAGTGGCTAAATCCTAGTTCACAAAAATTCCGATTGGGATTAACATGTACCACTCCTAGGACAGTTTATGGAACAGAATCAATGTAAGAGAAATTACCAAAATGCAATATCCTCCTTGTTAACCGTGAGTGAACCGAATGGTGAGGAGAAAGAATAGGAGTAACAAGAATTATTTTTCCCAACTACGCATATGAATCGAACAGTGAGATGGAGAGCAACTTGTGTTAGAGTTTTACCTTCTTTCAAGCCTCCAATTGTTAGTTATACGGGTGGAGGACCTCAACCTCACTCTCCAACCAAAACCAGCCGCATGCAAGGGGTGGAGAGACTCGCTCAAGGCAAATTCACGCTCAAGAAATGGAAAACTAAATCAGAAATCAATCCAAGAGGAGAATCAAGAATGTCACGAAATTTAATCTCACCTCTTCTCATATGCTCCTAGGCCGAACAGGAGAAGGAGGGAATGAGTGTGCAAGGAGCTTTGTCATTCTCCCAAAGTGCCCACGGTATGAGAGAGGGTGGATGGAAGGTGATGCAGAATTACTCTTGGTGTTCCTCCTCCAAGTAGCTCGCGGACTTGAGAGGGAACAAGGCTGAGTTTGGTCCAGAAATTAAATGATAGGAATGCAACCTTGTGGTTCCACCATTAACGCACAGGGGCTGGTGAGACTGACTTCAAGTCAGCAAATAGTGGCAGGAAGAAGGAAAGGATACGGCTCTTGTTTTGTTGTGTCTCTCTAAAATTATCGGTTCTGGAAGGAGGAAAGGGGAAAACAGAACTGGTTACTAATCCACACCCAATGGCCATCAAGGAATTTGGCTTGTTTCTTGTTGTTCCTTTCTTTGAGTCAGCGGTTTGAGGAGAAGGATAGAGAGGAGGGGACTTGTGAACTTTTGATGCTGGTGTAACGCATGCAAGAGAGGAAGAGGACATGTGAGCTAGATGAGTTTGCTTCTTCTGTCTAGTGGTTTTCGACTTGTGGGATGAAATAGGGGAATTAACTTTCTGAATACAAGCTTACAAAATTCAGAACTATCTACTCCTAATTGGCACTAAGTGGTGGGGAGATAAGGTGAGACATGTGTCCACTCTTGGCCACTCAATGGTTAGCATGCAGATTTTGTTTTGGGGATAAGATAAGGTCCATGAGTAAGGAATTATAGGCTGACTTAAACTCCTATTTCAAAGGGTTTGGGCCGTGGCCCATGGGGAGTTTGGAACCCAAACATTTCACCTAAGTCATACAGTCTCATGTAATTACTTATTTGTAGCTAGAGCTTTCATTAAGAGTATCTATAAATAGTCATGTCCTACACTTACATGTAGTTCAATCTCAGGACAAGAGTCCACCTTCGTAATTGTACTTTGAATATTTTTCTAGTAATTATTATTCCATGTTCCCACTAGGTAGTGGTAAGGACTTCTAAATAATTTATAATTAAACTTAATACTATCCCTTCTTAACTAGTGTTTTGATTAATTAAAACTTCTACATAAATATGTATCAACTTATAATTGCCATAACAATCATTTTCCTAATTTAATTTAATTCCACTCTAAACTTAAATTTAATTCGAGTTCCAAGCATGATACACATTCTTGATTATAATTTATAGAAGTTCCTAATTATGCGGGATGTTACACTCTTCCCACCAAAATTTGAAGTTTGTCCCCAAACTTCGTCCTACCAATTCCAAAACTATTCCAGCCGAATGCCAAACAAAATTACCTTAGTGAAAGGAACCATATCACATTCAGCTGGACATTGCACAAGGCATCAATTAATTCAGAGTATTACAATTAAATCGCACTTCATAAGTTTATCAGATAATACATAACAAAAATTTTACTTGCCTGATAGGGACTAAAATTTTCCTAAGTTTATTTATAGCAACAATTCTCTGGTTTCAGTTTAAATAACTCCTAAGACCACACTGCAACAAAGATTAAATAAAACCACATATCATCTTACCAAGCAAGAATTTCCAGCTATCTATTACCTTATTACTTAGGTTCTTCGTTTCCTTATGTGTGTTAATATCAATAACATGACATGCACATAGTAATACCCCTGCTATACTTACTGTACTTAAAAGACATGTCATTATCTACAAGAAAACTCTATATTTTTATGCATACTTGGTGGAAATTAATTCAGTGCATACGGTTACTCTCCAATTGATCATGCAAATAAAGTTTTACAATCCCAAATTAGACAATTCTAAAATAATTAGATATATCTGTCTAATACTTGTGCAAACAGAGGACTAAGTAACTAGGACCTTCAATTACACTTATTTTATCTTTAAAGTTTACATGTTACAAATTATAATTTCATTCACTTCCTACTTACTTCTTACATAAGACAAAATTTCAATTCAATCCACAATTCACAACTAGTTACCTAACTCGACAACATCACGGGCAGAATTCCATTAAAAGTTCTGGTTTTCTAAAAATCTAAGTCCATTACTATTGAGGTATAAACATTTAACAGCATCAACTAAGTTAACAGCACAATACTTAGCATTATCTTATGAAAGAAGAATTTACATAGATGAGTAGTGCCTTTGTCTAGGGTTTAGGATTTAGGAGGCACCTCAATTAACTCTAACTATGAAGCTGACTTAAAGACACAAATAAGGGTACTAAGATTCCAAGGTACTAAATTCTATTTGTCATGATCACAAGGGATGTTAAGCTCGTTCGTTTATTCTGTAGCTACTGTCTAATATTTTCCTAAAATCAAATGTGACCAAGTCTATCCTTTAACGACGTACTCAACAATTCAAGATACCAAGCAGTCACGTATACAACTAATTAATTCTAGCATGCTCCTCGTACATATCACGTAAGGTGGTACCTCTCATACAGCTCGTCAAAACACCCATATAAGAAAACTTCCTCGAGCTTTCCGTTGTCCTGGGTACCTCGGATGTAATTGACTCCACTGATCAGAGAATCCAGTAACATGATATGAACTTTCCAATCATTACACACATTACAATTTGAACAGCTATCAATCATAATCCAACACATAAACCAGGCTTTCATAATTCACACTCACAATAACTGCATTCGACATCTTAATTTCAGTTAAATATCTCTTTAGAGTGGCAATTCATAATACAAGAAGACTACAGTTACTGACACAACTATACTTTTCACAACAAATTCGATTCTGATACTCTTCCTAGCATATTCCACACATCAAATTCATTTTCCAACAGAAAAGAGAGTTCCTAATTCCAAATACTCAAAACAAAAGGATTAATACACCAAGCTCCCAATATAAGGGTTTTCATGAAGCAATCAAATTTCCATTTAAAGTGATGAGTTAACCACAATACGACCATACCTTTAGCAGCAAAGTCAAGATAAATTTTCCAATTATTTTTATGTTCATGTTGTCATAAGATGCAGCTATTTTAATTTTCTTCTTACAAAACTTTAACCTCAAAAATGATTTCACAATACATACCACACTTTAAAATCCAACTTTCAACATAAAAGGAAATTCACCAAGTCAAGTGCTCAAAACAGAGAGTGAACCCAACCGATTTCACTAAGCATCATTATTATGGAGTTCACATTCTAGACGGTTAAAACAGTTTAAGTAATTCATAAACTCACATTCTAATATATTACTAAAAATCAAATCCCAAACACTTCTTTTTAATTGCTATACCCCACAACTGATACTCAAAACTAATAATATATTTTCACAAGTTCAATTTATCAAACCGAAAACTCCTCATTAAATTTCTACCCTCACAAGCCAATACCAAAATAAAAGTTTTCATGAATTTATCAAACAGAGATTACCCACCTTTAATACAACTTAAACATCAATTCATTACTATGTCCACTCATATGGTTCCATAAAACTTAGTTTACTTATTCCAATTACTAAAGTCATTTGCTAGATTAAGTTCCTACAAAATTTCAAACATAGGTACCAAAACCACCAAACAAGATTTTCTCATTACTTGATTCTCGGTGTTTGACAGTTTGATACTACAATGTTACCGGAGAATGTGTTGGCTAGACCCATTCCCAGTCACAGCTAGAGTATCACCCCATCACACACTAGGAATCAGCAATTTCCATACTTCATTATTTATTCTTCATTCAGGCATTATTCGATTATAGTATACTACACACCAGACTCCTCTCTTGAGGAGGTTTTCGTGTCTCACAAATACTAATTCTATTTTCGTCATGCCAAGGAACGAGCGGATCCTACTCACTACATGGCACACACGACAGTAGTCTCAAGATTGAGGCATGGTTCCCACTTCAGGACAGAATCCCAAACAATCGCTTACAATATTATACCATTCAAACAACTCAATTCAACTGCAACCTAGTACAATCAGACAACTCTTGCACAATTTATTAGTAGCAAACATTTCCGATCAAATATTTAAATGCATAATATGAACAGCACAACCGAACAGAGCATACAATAAAACAGTACATATTATTCAACTACCCTAATAATATTCTCTAATATCCGCAAGACAGATCAATCCAATGTAACAGGTCAAATTCGATTATTTAGCCGGGTTACACCTTTCACTGCATAATCTGACCCCTATATATCAAGTCATCAGCAAGATAAATCTTTACAATACAGTCTAATACATCAGATAATCAAGCACTACATCATACCATCTTCAATAATCAAACTGTTCCAAATAAGTTCATCTCAACGGCTGTGAGTAAATAATACCATAAGAGGAGTTCAGTGTATCTCAGGAAAATTCTAATATTTCAGATATACTAACTTTCACAATTTAACAGAATATTTCAGCAAGTGCCAATCATAACTCAGGTAGTTCCTTGATTTAATTCTAGCATCCGGCATTCGACAAATAGTTCAACAAATGTCAATCATAATTCAAGCAATTCAGAAAATTAATTCTAGTATGCAGCAACCAACACAGTTGCATAGCTACTTTCAAACAGCAATCAATTCAGCAATTATTGAACAATTCAACAGTTAACTTTAAACAACAGTGATCACACAACATATACAAACAATATGATTAACAAACAGCAACCAATGCAACAATCACAACAAACACCTTGAATCAAAACTGCTCTGATATCAATTAGTGTAACACCCTCCCTTGTATGCATCCAAGGGAGTTGTTTGCTAAGCAGAATTAGAGTTTTTGACGTCATTACTTTGATACTGAAAAACCATTTTGATGCTGCTAATTAAATCTTATAATTGAAATCGAGTCACTTACAAAAATCAGAGTGCACTTTCAAAATTTCTTAACTTGCTAAAATATTATTTTCCTGGCAGACGTTGTCTTGAAAAATTCGTATAAAGTCAATTTCAACGATTCAAAAAATATTCTTTGTTATATAGAAACTAGACATCTGGGCTTCGCGTACATATAAATTACACGCGAATCGGAGGAGAATAGCCCCATGAAATAGAACTCGTAAGGTACTCAAAAACTCAGTGTATTTTTCTAAAAACCTCCTGACTTGTAAAAATCATAATAATTCGAGTTTTCAAAATTTCATTGTAAGGTTTACATAATATGAAAGTACACAACTGGAGCTTCCATAGTACCAGTTGTGTACGTACTAACAAGCACAGTGCAGATCCCATAGTGGCTCCTCAAGAGGGTTCCAACTGCGACCTATGCGGACTGAAGCCAAGTATCCTATACCATGGTACCGTAGGGATGCCTATATGATGCGTGCTCAAACGTATGCATAATGTGAAACATAATGTGGTATGCAATGTGGTATGCAATGGCATGCTTGACACACACACAAACAGGCACAGGTGAAACATGAAGTGCATATGCATGACTAGATCAAGATCATATTAGCATATATCTCTTGCATATTTAATACCACGCTGCCGAGTCACAAATACTTCTATAGGCAGAATTTTCCATCAAGACAAGTCCAAGGCACATTTCATATAACATATAACAGAATACAAATCAGAGGCACATGTGAGCATCAGTTCAAAATTCTATACGCT